AGAATTTTTTTGGCATGCATTTTATTAGAAATTCAATTTTTTTAAATGCAATTTTTGTCAGGAGATTTCTTTATAAAGTATCTTTCCCAACTGTGTATTTATATATGTAAATAAAACTTTTGTTTACAAGGCAGATGTTAGAATTTCATGTTTTTCTGTTGCTACAGGTGATCTCTTTAACCAGCTCATGAGAGATGATCCTTCAACTGTAAATGGTGCAGAAAATTTAATGTTGGGAGAAATGTTGACTTTACCACAGAATTTTGGGTAAGAACAATATGCGCCTATAAGAAATGCAGCAGACCTTAAAGTCAGTACATATCATGTTTCAATAAATAACTATGGAATGGGCAAATGATCATGACACATTTAATTGGTAAAGTTTTAAAAAAATTATGGTATATGATTTTGGGTTTCTTTAAAATATATGTACTCATTGTTCATAGACATGATTGGACTCCAAAGACTGCTTTTATATAAAAACTGGCATTGTGTGAAAATTGTTGTTATAAGAAAATGGAGGATGACCGCATCAGATTACACAATGGAGGGTAACTGTGCCATTACAAATTGCCAAACCACTGAATATCAAGGCCCAACCAAGTTAGCACTTAACCTTAACCATCACAGCCAGCGTTACTCTTTCCTGTCACTTTGGATTTGTTATTGCCAGGTGTATGTCACTAATACACAAGATATATTGTAGATTATTTTTGTTGCTATAAATGCAAAATGTTGAATAATGAGATAGTCAGTAAATGAGTAGGTGTACAAGAGAGCTGCAAAAAGTTAATGGAAAAATTCCATTGCGTTTTAATTCCATTTTTCATTAACTTTGTGAAGCCATCATATATATATATATATATATATAATCAAAATGTTAATAACAAGTTCCCAAAATGTTTAAAATTTAACTTTCTTTTTTAAATCCTTCTACATTTTTAATGGCCAAATATATTTTATGGCCATGTATTCCTCTTGTTTTAACTGCATTGATCTAAATCTTTTTTCAGAAGTAGCTATTACATTCAGCCTCATTTTCTCCCAATATAAGTTACCAGATTTGTTAGCTGTTGGAGCCCTTACACTTCTTAGCTGGCCTCTTACTCTAGATTGTTGATGAGTCACAAACCCCTGGCCTAACGTTTTACTAAAAGAATTTGAGAGAAAAGAGGATTTTCAGGTGTGTTTTTTGTTTTTTTTAAATCATATTCATGATAAAAAAATACGAAAATATAAAGTAAAGCCTCTGGTCATTATTTTTATGTGGATAGCTTTGTAAAATAAATAATAAAAATGTCCTATTACTATAAAGAGCAGAAACTAAAGTCTCTAGATTTAAGACATATGTTATTTCTAAAATGAAAAGTTGACTTTTTTTGGCCTTTTTCGATATAAATCTTAAGACTCTTACCACGAGTCTGATTTCAGAGTAGTGTATTTAGGAAAACAGGCCGTTTATGTACTAGTTGATGGCAAAGATATTTAGATTAAGTCAGTGTTTTCAGTTGCATTAAATAGTGATTAGCAGCCTAATATAAAGAAATGTTGAAACAATATTTTACCTACTCTCTGTCCCTTAATACATTTTTCTCCGTGTGAACTTCTCATTATTGCTCAAATTATATTTTTCATTGTTTCTGAAAATGTGCCAAAAATTGTGAATGAATTTTTACCTAAAAATTTACTTTATTTACAGAAATATATTTTTGGGTGAAACCTTTTCCAGCTATATCAGCGTTCATAATGATAGCAGTCAAGTTGTAAAAGATATATTGGTAAAAGTAAGTAACATACTTGTTTGGGATAGACTTTTTTAAACAAAAAGCTTAACATTTCTTTCCTATTATTATGTTATTGAAAATTTATTAAAATGCCTGGTTGATCATAGATTTGTAAATTATAATTAATAAGTATTAATTGAACAACTAAATGTATGAGACACTATTGTTTTTTGTTGTTGTTATGTGCCGTGGAGTTGGTTCCAACTCATAGCGACCCTGTACAGGGTTTCCAAGGCTGTAAATCTTTACGGGAGCAGAAAGCCTCATCTTTCTCCTGCAGAACAGCTGGTAGTTTCGAACTGCTAACCTTGTGGTTCGCAGCCCGATTCATAACCACTACACTACCAGAGCTCCTTATAAGACACAATACTAGGTATATAAATACATTTCTTATCCTCAAAGTTTGCCATAATTAGAGTGAAAAAATTTACTAGTCAAAAGCAAGTAATAATGTTAAGTTTTTATTAATATATGTGATTAACTTAGAAACCTTGAAAGAGGAGGAACGCTCACTGTGGATTGTATCAGTCAGGAAGGCTTACTGGAGAGGAGAAAACATAAAATGATCTTGAACAAAATATGAAATTTAGAGAAAGAGATATGATAGTCCAAGGCAGAGACATGGATGCATAGCATGTTCACTTAATACTAAATACAAGAACTTATTTGATAATAGAAGGTCAGGTTGTAGAGATGTGTAATAGCTAAACAGTGGAGTATCTTAAGTGAATGACAGGCTGTGGTTTCAGCCTTTAAAAAAAAAAACCATCAATGGACAATATCTTTTGAACAGAGGTATTTGCATTTTGGTTAGGAAGACTTATATGAGAACATTGCATAGGATGGTTTATAAGAAAGAGGGACTAGTTAAAAGACTTGAAATAGTTTGCAAGTTTCAAGAAGATAATCACAGTTTTAGAATGGAAACATATCTCAGGAAGCATATATTCCAAATTTTATATATCTGTCCTGACTTCCAGATTATTAGATGCAAATTTTTGCATGTGTGCACATGTTGTTGTTGTCAGGTGCCATCGAGTCGGAATCGACTCATAGCAACCCCATGCACAGCAGAACAAAACAATGTCCGATCCTGGGCCAACCTCACTACCGCTGCCACACTTGACGCCATCAATGATGCCACCTGGCCAGTCCATCTCGTTAGAGGTCTTCCTCTTTTTCTCTGACCCTCCACCTTACCCAGCATGACATCCTTTTCTAGTTACTGTTTCCTCCGGACAATATATCCAAAGTATGAGAGACGAAGCTTAGCCATCCTGGCCTCCAAGGAGCACTCTGGCTGTACTTCTTCCAAAACAGATCTATTGGTTCTTTTGGCAGTCCATGGCATTTTCAATATTCTCCTCCAACACCACTTCTCAAAGGCATCAATTCTTCTACGATCTTCCTTATTCACTGTCCAGCTTTCACATCCATATGAGGCTATTGAAAACACAGTGTGCATATATGTTTATTATATTAGAAATGTTTTGCTTTCACTAGTTCCAAATATAAAGTTAGCAGACCTAACCAGTTGCTATCAACTCGATTCCAGTTCATGTTGTTGTTGTTGATAGTGCCATCAAGTCTATTCCAACTCATTTGTTATTGTTCTTAGGTGCCATCAAGTCGGTACCAACTCACAGCGACCCTGTGTACCACAGAAGAAACACTGCCTGGACCTGGCACAATTGTTGCCAACCTTGAGCCCATTGATGCTGTCACTTTGCCAGTCTATCTCGCTGGGGGTCTTCTTCTTTATCTCTTGACCCTCCACCTTACCAAGCATGGTATCTTTCTTCAGTGACTGGTCCCTCCTGGGATGTGTCCAAAGTATGAGAGACAAAGTCTGGCCATACTGGCCTCCAAGGAGCACTCTGGCTGCATGTCTTCCAACAGCATATCTTAAATGCATTGATTGTTCTATAATTTTACTAATTCACTCTCCAATATTTGCATGTATATGAGATTATAGAAAATATGCTTACAGCAGCAGTTTCTGTATTACCTTTAGTGAAACTTAACTTGCATGGGATAGCAAAGGTATTGTCCAGTGATTTCCGCATTTCGTTGGGCCACTTCTCTTTGTAATGGGCATATATGTGGATGTCTTCCAATCAGTTGGACAGATAGTTGTCTTCCAAATTTCTTGGCATAGATGCGTGAGTGCCTCCAGTGCTGCCTCACTTTGTTGAAAGATTTGTTTGTATTCCAACAATATGCCTTGTTCTTTGCCAATTCTGTCAATACACCTTAGACTTCTTCCTTTAGTATCATTGGCTCTTGATCATGTGCTACCTCTTGAAATGGTTGAATGTCAACCATTTCCTTTTGGTACAGTGACTCTGTGAATTCTGTCTATCTTCTTTTGATGCTTTCTGCATCGTTCAATAATTTGCCCAGAGAATCCTTCAATAACGAAACCTGAGTCTTGAATGTTTTCTTCAGTTCCCCCAGCTTGAGAAATGCTGAGTGTGTTCTTCCTTTTTGGTTTTCTGATTCCAGATCTTTGCACATTTTGTTGTAATATTTGGCTTCAGCTTCTTGAGCTAATCTTTGAAATTTTCTGTTCAGCTCTTGTACCTCCTCATTTCTTCCATTTGCTTTAGCATCTCTATGCTGGAGAACAAGTTTCAGTGTTTCTTCTGACATCCGTTTTGTGATCTTTTCCCTTTTTCTTGTCTTCTTAATGACTTTTTGCTTTCTTTATATATGATGTTCTTGATGTCATTCCACAGCTCTTCTAGTCTTCAGTCTTTAGTGTTTAATGTATCAAATCTGTTCTTCAGATGATCTCTAAATTCAGGTGGGATATATTAAAGGTCATATTTTCGTTCTCGTGTACTTGTCATTTTCTTCAGCTTCAGTTTGAATTTGCATATGAGTAATTGATGGTCTGTTCCACAGTCTGCCCCTGGCCTTGTTTTGACTGATGATATGGAGCTTTTCCATCGTCTTTTTCTGCAGATATAGTCATTTTGATTTCTATGTATTCCTTTTGGTGATGTCCATGTGTATAATTGTCTCTTATGCTGGCTAAAGATGGTATTTGAAATGAACAAATGATTGGTTTTGCAGAATTCTGTCATGCATTCTCCAGCATCATTTCTGTCACTTTAAGACCATATTTTCCAACTACTGATCCTTCCTCTTTACTCCCAACCTTTGCATTCTAATCACCAGTAATGATTAATACATCTTGATTGCATGTTTGATCAATTCTATTTCATCCTTACTGTCTTTAGTGTTTGGTATGTAAATTTGAATAATAGTGGTATTAACTGGGCTTCCCTGTAGGTGCATGGATATTATCCTATCACGGACAGCGTTGTACCTCATGACTGATCTGGATATGTTCTTATTGACAATGAATGCAACACCATTCCTTTTCAATTTGTCATTCCCAGCATAGTAAACCATGTGGTCATCAGATTCAAAATGGCCAATACCAGTCCATTTCAGCTCATTAATGCCTAAAATAGGGATATTTATGCATTCCATTTCATTTTTGATAATTTCATACTTTGCACAGTCCATGTTCCAATTATTAATGGATATTTACAGCTGTTTCTTTTCATTTTGAGTTGTGTCGCATCAGCAAATGAAGGTCCCACGGGCTTTACTCCATTTGCATCATCAAGGTCACCTCTACTTTGAGGAGGCAGCTCTTCCCCAGTTGCATTTTGAGTGCCTTCCAACCTGAAGGGCTCATTTTACTGTACTGTATCTGACAGTGTTTCTCTGCTATTCATAAGGTTTTCAGTGACCAAATATTTGGAAGTAGTTCGTTACTCCTTCTTCTAGTCTGTCTCCTGGAAGCTCATCTGAAACATGTCCACCATGAGTGACCCTGCTGGTATTTAAAATACCGGTGGCATAGCCCTCAGAATCACAGCAACTCACAAGCCACCACAGTAAGACAAACTGACAAGACAAGTGGTGGATTCCATTTTGAGTTCTCCCTTTTCCTAGTTTACTTTATGTGTGAGGGTGGGAGGTAATGTATAGACCATTGCCATGTTTCCAAGTGTTACAGCTAATATAGAAAGGTTTATGCAGAGAACTGTGCTTCCCTTTCGTCCTTAATTCCACATTCCTATTCCCCTGTGCATCCTACCCATATATTCCCATACCCTATAAATTAACCAATCTCATTTGAGTTTTTCTCGTCACTTTCTTTTAAGGCTGATCTACAGACAAGTTCTCAACGTTTAAATCTTTCAGCCTCCAATGCTGCAGTGGCTGAACTTAAACCTGACTGTTGTATTGATGACGTCATACACCATGAAGTAAAGGAAATTGGGACACACATGTAAGGATTAATTTTGCTATTTCTCAAAGGCTTTTACTTGTAATATTGTTAAGTGATGTCAAGTTGGTTGCAACTCATAGTGACCTTGTCTACACTAGGTTGAAACACTGCCCAGTTCTCTCCCATCCTCAGTCATTACTGAGCCTATTGTTATTGCAGCCTCTGTTTCAGTCTATCTCACTGAAGGTATTCCTCTTATGTGCTGGTGTTCTACTTTGCCAAGCAGAGTGTTCTTCTCTAGGGACTGGTTCTGCTTGATAGCATGTCCAAAGTACATGAGAGAAAGTCTCTCCATCCTTGCATTCTGGCTGTATTTTTCCTAGACAGATTGTTTTCATTAATTATTATGATATTCCGTGGTATTTTCAACATTCTTTGCCACCACCATAGTTCAAAGACATCAGTTCTTCAGTTTTTCTTATTCATAGTCCAACTTTTGCGTGTATATATTGTTACTGTTAAAATGCCCTCAAGTTGATTCTGTCTCAGTGACCCTGTATAGGGTTTCTAAGGCTTTATAAAGTCTGACTACCTATTTCAAAAAAGAACGTTATGTTCCATGCTTACATCCTTTCTAAACAAAAAAAACATTAAATAATAGTTCTTGGTTTTGTTTTTCGTTTTGTTTTTCGGAAAAGATTTCATTTATCCTTATTTATTTTTAGTTTCCTATTTACATCTACAGAGTCCTGGTGTGATGCTGTGGGATAAAGCACTGGACCACAGGGTCAGTGGTTCAAATTCACCAGCCACCTCTTGTAAACCCTATACAAGTCTCTGTGAGTCAAAACCGAGTCGACAGCACTTAACAACTATAATTTACATCTGCAAAAACAGCGCTTTGCCTAAAAGTATATCTTTTATTTTTGAAATGCTAACCCATGTTCATAGTATTCAGTTTTAAATCACATTGATTTGTTCTGTACAAAAATATGTATATACACTCTGTGTTGAGAAATCAGAAATATAGCACCAAAATAAAACAAGCAATGAAAAGTATTTAAAAGAACAGGAGTTCTTTTTCTGTATTGAATGTGAATGCTCTAGTTTTCTTTACACCTCTCTGCTGTAACTTTAAACTTTCTGTCTCTCTCATCACCTTCACATTCACTGTATTCACAATTCACAAAGTCTTTTCAGTTCTTAAATAGCTTTCATTTATCCATTCTTTCCATGTTCATTTTCATTTTGCTTCTCCTCTTTGTACCCATTAAAATATATAATTGTTTTTAAGTGCTGTCGAATTGGTTCTGATTCATAGCAACCCTATTTAGGGTTTCCGAGAAGCAGCTGCTGAGTTTGAACTGCTGACCTTGTGGTTACCTGTCCAGTGCTTATCCTATGGCACCACAGCAGGACTCCAGCACTATAGTAGTAGTTGTTTTTAAGTGCCATTAAATCAGTACCGATTCATCATGACCTTATGCACAGCAGAACAAAACAATGCCCGGTCCTATCCCAACCTCACTATCATTGCTACACTGGAGCCTGCTGCTGCTGCCACAGTACCAATCCATCTCATTGGGAGTCTTCCCTTTTTTCATTGACCCTCCACTTTACCAAGCATGATGTCCTTCTCCAGGGACTGGTCCTTCTTGATAATGTGTCAGAAGTACGATGGACCAAGTCTGGCCATCCTGGTTTCTAAGGGGCATTCTGGGTATACTTCCCCTAACACAGATTTGTTTGTTCCTTTTGCAGTCTGTGGTACTTTTAATATTCTTCAACATCGTAACTGAAATGCTTTAGTTCTTCTACAGTTGTCTTTAGTTATTCACATGCGTATGAGGTTTTTGAAAATACCATGGCTTGGGTCAGGTGCATCTTAGTCCTCAGGCTGACATCTTTGCTCTTTCTGCTAACTCCAAGAAACTGACCATCTGCCCCTTGAGATAAAGATGAGGCTGTCTACTCCTGTTAAGATTTATATTGTCAAAAACCCTAAGGAGCAGTTATATTGTCTTGTATGGTCGCTGTGAATCAAAATTGACTTAATGGAAATGGGTATTGAAGGATTGTTTGCCAAACTCCTTATAACTCCTAACAATACAAAGAGAGCCAGTTTCTTTAAACCTTCGTTAACCCTGATGGTTTTATGTTGATACTGTCACGAGATGGATCGGCCAGGTGGCATCATTGATGGTGTCAAGTGTGGCAGCGGTAGTGAGGTTGGCCCAGGATCGGACGTTGTTTCGTTCTGCTGTGCATGGGGTTGCTATGAGTCGGTTCCGACTCGATGGCACCTAACAACAACAGCAACAACCCTGATGGCCAGCACTCATGTGTCAGTTTGTCGTCCTGTAGTAGTTAGTGTACTGTTGTGAGGCTGAAAGCTGTACCACCGGTATTTTAAATATTGGCAGGGTCACCCATGCTGGACAGGTTTCAGTGCAGCTTCTAGATTAAGACAGACTACAAAGAAGGTGAGGTAGGCCACTTCTGAGTGGTTAGGTGCTGAGATATTTATGAATAGCAGCTGAACAGGTGAACTTCTGTGTCTGGCACTATAGTATGAGAACTGGAATGCAACTGCTAGATCAGCACTTCAAACCCACAGTGACAATAGCAGCTGAACATTGTCAGTTATAGTGCCAGAAGATGAGCCCTTCCAATTGGAAGGCTCTCAAAATATGACTGGAGAAAAGCTGCGTCCTTCAAGTTGACATTAATGACGTGGATGAAGTAACTTTTCAGGGCCTTCATATGCTGGCATAGTGCAACTCAAAATGAGAAGAAACAGCTGCAAACATCCATTACTAATTGGAATGTAGAATGTACAAAATATGAATCTTGGGAAATTGGAAGCTAATTTTAAAATGAAATGGAATACGTAAAGATCAGTATCTTAGGCATTAGTAATCTGAAATGAGTTGATTTGGGCCATTTTGAATCACATAATCAAGGTTTACTGTGCCAGGAAGCTTACAATCAAGAATGGTGTGGTATTCATGGTTAAAAAGAACAAATCAAGATCTGTCTTGAAGTACAATGCTATCTGTGATAGGATAATATCCATATGCCTATAAGGAAGAAGAGTTAATACCACTATTGTTCAAATTTTTACACTAACCACTTAAGCAGTGATGATAAAATTGAAGAATGCTACCAACTTCTTTTGTCTCAAATTGATCAAACATGCAATCAAGATATGTGGAAAATTACTTGTGATTGGAATGCAAAGATTGGAAACAAAGAGGAAGCATCCATAGTTGAAAAATGAGGCCTTGGTGATACAAAATGTGGTGTAGATACATGATAAAATTTTACATGACCAACAACTTACTCATTATAAGTGCCTGTTTTAAACACACAGGAATCAAATTGACTACATCTATGTGCGCTGTGTGATTATGTGCCAGACTGCAAAGCCATTTGTACTGCAAGGTCAGATCCATATTGTGCCCATTCCAAAGAGAGATGACCCAGTGGAATATGGAAATTATCAAACAATGTCGTCAATACCACATGGAAGTAAAATTTTACTAAAGATATTTCAAAGAACATCTATAGGAAACTGCTAGAAATTCAAGCTGAATTTAGAAGAGAACATGGAACTAGGGATATCATTGCTGACGTCAGATGGATCTTGGCTGAAAGCAGAGAATACCAGAATGATGCTTACTTGTACTTTATTGGCAATGCAAAGACCTTTACCTGTGTTAATCATACCAAACTATGGATAATATTGTGAAGAATAGGTGTTCTATAACACTTAATTGTGCTCTTGAGGATCCATGGATAATTTGTGATATGCAGATGATACAACCTTGTTGCTGGAAGTGAAGAGGACTTGAAATACTGCTGAAGATCAAAGCCTGTAGCCTTCTAATTTATATTGCATCTCAATGTAAAGAAAACAAAAATGCTCACAACTGGACCAATAAATAATATCATGATAAATAGAGAAAAGATTGACATTGTCAAAGACTTCAGTTTGCTTGGATCAGTAATCAATGCTCATGAAAGAAGTAGTCGAGAAATCATATGGCGCGTTAGGCATAAGTATTAAAGAGCGAAGAAATCAGTTGGAGGATTATGATGAGTCTGACCTAAGTCATGATGTAGTTTCAGTTGCTTCATATACATGTGAAAGTTGGACTATGAGTAAGGAGCACTGTGGAAGTATTGGTGCATTTGAATTATGGCCTGCCAGAAGAACAAACAAATCTGTCTTGGAAGAAGTATAGCCAAAATGTTTCTTAGAAGTGATGATGGTGAGACTTCATCTCTTACTTTGGATGTATTTTCAGGAGGTACTAGTCTCTGGGAAAGAACATCCTGCTTGATAAAATTAGAGTGTCAGCAGAAAATGGAAGGACCCCGCCCCCCCCAACAATATGAATTTACAGTGACAGCAACTATGGGCTGAAACAACAACAGTTGTAAATATGGCACAGGACTGGGCAATGTTTATTTCATTTGTGCTTGAGGTGAATTGTTGTTATGAGTTGAATTGACACAGTGGCACTTAACTACAGTAATAACCCTGATGTTTCTCCAGAGAAGAACAACTTAGATATACCTAAAGAAATTGAGAAATTTGGCTCACAAAACTGGTCAGTATGGAAAGTCTTAAACTGGTAGGGAAGTTTGACAGGTTGGAAATTAAAGCAAGACTTGGTGCTTGTAGTCTTAAGTCTTATATAACTGGATGACTGAATGCCAGGCTGTTACTCAACAGGATTTTAGTGTTAATCTTGATGCATAATTTCCTCTCCAGAAAACCTCAATTTTTGCTCTTTTTTGTTGTTGTTTATTTCTTTTTTTCACAATGTATAGTTCTGTTTTACATTCTTTTTTTTTTTCTTTTAATGTTTCATTGTGAATTATATGGTAGTTTACATGAGAGAACATTAGCCTTACATTCATTTCATCGTATCGTATATCGTTCATTGCAATGGTTAGAGTCCCCTCCATGCATCATAGCCAACAAAGGACATATCCTGCAAGCCTGCCCCATGGTTGTCAGTACACAGCCCCACTCCTTCTCTTGAATCTAG